AATTTGAGTTCGAGTATTTTTTCATTATTCTACATTATATGGGTACCACGAGCTGTCATAGTTTGCGAAATTGAGAGCAATTTCAAATCTGTTCAGTTTTTTTTATACACCCTGTATAATACTCCCTTTGAACCAGGGCGCAGTAAAACATTGGTTTGAACATAAATTTTCGCGATCATACCTTCTTTGAAACGATTTTGAAACATAGTTACAAATGCACGTCACGGAAGCTCGGAAATGGTAGCATAAAAACAAAATTTCCACTTTGTTCTTTTGAGAACAGAAAAACAAGTCTTTTATTTAAACAACATTGAAATAAACAAAGGAACGAATTCAAACTAATATTAGAATGTTAGGGTTTGTAATCCAAGTGAGAATATATACATTTTAAGACCTAACCAGGAACGACTGTGAAAAATGCAGCACAAGGTCCTCTGGTACGAATTGAACCTACGGCCCTGCGATTCCGGTGCAGCACTCTAACCAACTGAGCTACAGAGGCCAGCTGTTGAGCTGTAACCGTAAGTTCATGTATAGATAGGTAATCGGGTGTGCGGGTTGTGATAAGGTGGACTTCAATTATTTGGATTCTTGCACCCTAACATTCTAATATTAATTCCACCAAGTGAAGTGCAAGAATCTAAATAATTGAATTCAAACTAACCCTGACTAAAAAATTGCCTGCATGATTGGTAAAAACGAAAGCTTATCATGAAATCTATTTTGATTGGATTTATATCAGTTTTCGCCTCACTATAGTCTATACGTGGGATAATACAGCACATGTTGTACGGTGGTAAAGGGTATTTTCGTCAATTCGTGAGCCATGAATTGCTAATATTTGTTCTCGGTGAAATGACGGACATTTTCTCCGCCATTTCGTAAGCTCGCGCGCATGCGCTTTACGTTTGACCGCGGTGTTGACATGTATAATAGAGACATTTTAAGGCATCATTTTCTCCCTCCCATATAAGTGCATGTTAATACGTCATGTGCGGCTAGCAGTTGCACCAACACAAGTATAAAATTAAACATTGCTGTGTATATCTCTCTCATTTATATCTTATATATTTGATATAGCGCATGGTTATTACTCTTTGCACCAACATCTTAGGAATGATTCTTGCGATTGCTGGAACATCAGTTGGATCTGAATTCTGGGCCAAGCTGGAGAGGCCAACTGGTTGTGTCAACATTTATCGTCCTGCCTTCGACTACGATTGTCATTGTCAGCACAACAATGAAACAATCAAATGTAAATGTGTTTCTGAATTTCTGGAAAGCAAAGTTCTGCAACAGTGAAGGTTGAGCTCACGGGGCCTTGGGTGCGATTTAAGAATTTTTTCGGCCTACAGCTATTTTCAAAACTTGCAAGCTATTAAGCTATGCTAGTTTTGAGCTATACAAACTTCAGTTCTGATCCACGCAAAACAATTGTAATATTCCTTTGTATGATATGCTGCTCGCCTTCTGCATCGAGTTTGTATATCCGATACAACACGGTCGCTCACGTGACCAATTATACTTTAGGCCTAATTTTTATAATTTAGACAAGTTGATATTCTGGTGTCGCCACCTTAAAGGGATATGGCAATATAAATTAAGTTTGTCTTATTTAAAAGAACATGATATATAAACTTCATTCATAATTATTCCGTTGATTTTCGAAATAAATCGACTTATTTTGATCAAAAGCAGCGTGCATTCCGCCATCTTGGATATGCATTCAATATGCATACGTCACAAGTAGGGTAAAAATCGAATTTTTAATCTTGCAAACCACATGTCATTATCAATATGAAACTTGATTTTCCGAAGTTTTTTTAGTACTCAATGCATGAACTCCCAAAATTTTATGAAACTTTTCGAAGAAATTTAGTCCCGCATGAAGAAGTTTTAACCATGAAATTCGCTGTGTTGGTGTAATGTACTCAGGTGAATAAGATGTTTGTGTGTTGTTACTCTGAGTGTAACAACACACAAACATCTTAGTGCCCGGTGTGGATATACACTCAGAGTAACAACACACAACCAAGTTTTAACCAGTTTACCTTGCTTGTGACGTCTTCAATAACTCGGAAAAGATTATATCGCTGGCCTCAGAGTGACAAAACGTAACAAAGCAACGGTTTCACTAACACAAACCCTGCTCCAAACGCCAACTCTAACCCTAACCCTAATCCTTACCTTAATCTAACCCTACTCCAAATTTGTTTCTAAGCCACTCATGAAGAAAAAAGTTTTGACGAAATGTCATTCTGAGGTCAGCGAAATAGTTGATGCCCAATAACTCAGTTAATTATGTCAATTATAACAGCAAGATGGCGGATTGCACACGCATGTTTTTGCTCAAAATATTTCGCAAACCAAGCAAGGTGCGAAAAAGTTATATAAAGGGTCTTCATATATAACTTTAAAACTACTTTCAAATAAGACAAAGTTAATTTTTATTGCCATACCTCTTTAAGGCTATAATAGTTATTCTAGAAGGCAAATGGTTGATTGTTTTGATCATTCAAATATCATGGATTAAGACGATAGGATGATTATTTTATTTATCATAAAAATCCGAACTACTTCTATCAAAGCTATTAACGCGTTGCAACTTGCAACATCACAAAACATTTTTGGAGGCTTTTTTTTTTGGGGGGGGGGGGCGACATTGCCTCGTACAGGCAATGTTTTCACCAGCTGAAACCGTTTATGCTGTTAAAATTCCATTCACTGTTGCTCTCTTAATTAGATTCAGTTCATTGCTGGCGAGTGGATGTGGTGCGCGTTTGTACTGGCATAGTCACCACAATCTTTGGTGTTTTTGCTATCCTTAGTTTCTTGGCATCAATTAACAGCTGCATTCGAATTTACAATGTGTCACGGGTAAATTATGCTTAATTGGTACAAATATAAAAAATAAATTATTGTTAATTAATGCTACAATACAGGGTGTATAAAAAAAACTGAACAGATTTCAAATCTGAGTTCAGTTTTTTTTATAATGCATGGTTCCACGATTAGTTCATTAGGAGTTTTCAGTCATTCATCGCTAGATTTTATTGAAATGCTGAAAGATCTAAAGTCTGATGAGCAATGTAGAGTTTTTGAATAAATTATACTGCAAAAGAATTAATGCGTTTTTGAACAGACCATGCAATGGGATTGTAGAATTGGTCAGCCGATCCCAGGGCCATTTTCGCCGACCTTCAGCCGTGGAAGCAAAATGCTCTGGGGGCGAGGTTGAACTATAAAGTGACACTATACTCTATAGTCTATACTTATTACTTTTGAGGGCGTGATAACATACAGAAAATCTCCTCTTAACAATTCTACCTATTGTATAAATGTATCAAAGCAATGACATATATCTTTGATCTTATAGGGACCAACTGCAGTCGACATAATAGCTCAACAACCAAACACACTGGTCCTGACCACCTCACAAGCACATAACGAACAGCCATCACCGTATAGTCACCCCGCTGGCGCTGGTCAATATGAAATGATCTTCTGATACCAAACCTTGATTACATGGTTGAAAACAGTTCGGGATGTGAATTTAGCATTTTTACTATATACACTTTTGCACATATAATTACCATAGTTTTTTAGGTTAGATATACTGTGGTTCCAAATGTTAAATAAAGACCTATATATTTGCACGTACAATTATGTATTGATAAAACTGAAACCACCAACATATGTAGTTCAGCATACAGTAAGTTTCATTTATGCACTATCATATTTAATAATATGCATGAAGCCAATCACCAATGTGATTTTCACGTGTATAATGCACTCAAATGCATCCAACTTTGTTATTTTAATCTCTTTAGTGCCAGACAATTTTACTTGTCAAGGGAAGAATCCTGCACACACAACTACCTGAAAAATACAAGGAGAGCCTCGACGTTTCGAGCGAAGGCCCTTCGTTGGGAATTTAGGAATTTGATCGATTTTTGTTTCCCCACCCTGGGAATTTGATCGACACCATCTCCCGAGGGTGGGAATATTTGAATTAATTGAGCGCCATCTCACATCCTGAGGAAGAGCACGTGTTGAGGACTGGGACAAACGACTTTCAAGCCTTTCACCACAAATATGTGTGCCCAACAGTGGGGCATTTGACAACATTTTCAGACTGATATTTGCTTCCCCATGGTAGGGAATTTGACCAAAAAATTGCATGAAAAATCAACTGCCCCACATATACCAGACACACTTCCAATGTAACCTATTATGTCATTCGATTCCTATTATATTGTGAAGCTTTCTTCTATATATTACTGTAACTACTCCAATTATGTAAGAAGAAGTGTGAATAAAATTAATCTTGAATCTTGAATCTCCTAATAGGTGACCAACAACACGCAGGTTCCCCTAGATTTCCCTATGACATCATGGCCTACCCACCCTTGGATACAACCTCTGATGAATACTCCAATATACCCACCTCGTTTACGATGGTGAACACGATACCAACCCGAATTTACACCCCCTTTAATATAAAGGATGTAACATACAACATCCCAGTTCGAATAAGTACGCGGCATAATACTTTACAACGAAAATTTCCTGACGAACGCAGCATGTTTATAAAAGTATACCGTATAACTGTATAAAAGTCAAAACTGTTGAGACCCCAGCAAATCCATCTTCTGTTTGCCCAACCTTCCTCTCAAATGTTTGCCATATAAGCAATAATGACTATTAGTATAATTACATAGGTGATTATTGAAAATTCTCCACGCTGATTGGTTGTCGTTGAGGTGATTATTACGCGATAATCACCTAAGCGATTTTCAAAATGGCGGTCGAAGCCGTTTTGTCAATTAAATGACGAAGAAATGTGCATTTTAAAATTTGTTTCCAAATAATCACCTATGAAATTATACTAAAACAATTATTCACCTCAGGCTCGGTGATTATCGTGAATAAAAACCTCGACTTCGTCTCGGTTTTTATTCACCGATAATCACCTCGCCTTCGGCGAATAATTGTTAATTAATGACTTCGCTCGAAACGTCGAACTGTGTTCTCCTTGTATTTTTCAGCTAGTTGCTGCATCCCTATCAAACCGAACCGGATGAGTGATATCAAGTCTTGATATATATTAATTCTTACAGAAATGCAAAATATTCCGTTTATTTAAAGTGCATATGACATGAAATTTCTTATTTTCTTAAATGAAAGAACTCTTTAAGCTGTAGTGTAACTTATTTTTCAGTTTCTTGTTTTTATGGTTTGTTACCGAGATATTTCAATTTATTTGATATGTAAATGAGTGTGAATATGTCCGCTAATTTATGACGTCATGTTGGTTGCAAGCTCTTCAAAATGGTTGAATATCATTGCTATCATCCAAGATGATAATTTCAAACTTCACTCACTGGTAAATGTGATGAAACAGTGTAGAAAAACGTGAACAGATATATCTACAGTTTTTAGAGTTAATAGATTTATAACCCGCGTAAGTTGAGCTTGCAACCAACGTGACGTCATAAATTAGCGGACATATTCACACTCATTTACATATCAAACAAATTGAAATATCTCGGGAACAAACCATAAAAACAAGAAACTGAAAAATAAGTTACACTACAGCTTAAAGAGTTCTTTCATTTAAGAAAATAAGAAATTTCATGTCATATGCACGTTAATTTCTTTATTTCTGAACAATGACGATGTGCATGTTTCAAATAAGTATTTTTGCAGTTTTTATTAGTAGTCGACATCTATACCTGGCCTGGTTAAGTCACCAGAAAGCATGCTCCACATCTTGCAAGTATATAATGTATATCTTGCGAGCCTTATATCATGCATATATAATGTATCTATATTGCGAGTATATCTGAAGCTGAAAAAACTTCAATATATCATAGGTTTCGCCATTCCTATAAGTAATGGCCGAGTTAATGCTTACCCCGATTGCACGAGTGAAAATTAGGTGGTAAATTATATATACTTGTTATTTTTACTCCTACTGCGAATAATTGAGAGTTAAAACAACTCCTGGAGTAAAAGAATGGATGTTGTAAAAAAATTTCCTTTACTTTTACACCTGTGTTGGAGTTATATTTAGTAATTTACTCCTTCAGTGAAGTTAAAATGACTCCCAATGGAGTACATTTTGGAATACATAGGCTCATAGCAAACTGGTGTAGTTTTAATTAGCTGCACTGATTTTATAGTCACATCAAAGTTCTGTTTATATCAATGAAATGGGAGGTCAAGACCCGCGTGTTATGCCTCGCGATTCTCTTGGGTAAACAATTATTGGGGAAAGAATAAGAAAAAACTAAAAGTAAAGTCTACTATAAGTTCTTTGTATGTTTGCATGGCGATAAAATATAATAGTTTTGTTTGTGGAAACACCACGTAAATTTATTACTGCAAAGCTTTCGATCCGTAAGCCCGGATCTTCATCAGTGCTAATAATATGTGACTTGTTTAATTCACACGCTCTTTTTATATACAAAAGTGTCGTGATCTGTTGGCTCGCGTCATTTGAAATTTAATTAAACGGCACATCAACCACGTCATTTCAAACGTATAGTGAAGTGATTCCAATTAACGTGCGCGCATCCAAGACAAGAGAAATTAATTTTGCACATTAAAGAGAGCACGCCACGTACTATCTAGTGAAAGTCTACTAGGACGTTTTACTTGAATAAATGCATTAATGGATAGCTTTGAGCGCTGTTAAAGCTTTTTTTGTACATTTTTAAGCCGGTTTTTAAGAACATATATTCATGTTGACGTTTTTGACCGCGCTCTTCGCATGCGTGAAAAGACTGGGACTGGCCTTCAAATTTGGCTTCAAATTTCCGGTTGGAGGTTGCGTTACAGTTATATTCATTTCAATGGTTTATATTTGCCAGGCCCTTGTACGAGTCTCTCTCACAATGCACCTTTTCTATATGTCAATCCCTTTCTATATATTATGTTAATCTCAATGTTACTAAATTTAAGAGTGAGACTTTAAGGTCTTACCGCGAGGAGACTTACAATAGCGGAATTGCCATTTGTATGTGGACATCAGTTGGAGAGGTAATTTTATACGTCGTTCCTTTGAGTTTATTCATTTGTTTAATAATTTTCTCTTTAGACTTTACCCCAGTAAATTGTAACACAATATATTCAATTGTTTTAATTACGAATAAAATATTCCAAGTTGTATCATTAAAATAATCATACCGATTCCTATAGGTCTCTTTCGTCCGCAATTCAAAAATAGTCGAACTGCTCCACAACGAAACCTGTAATCTAAAGTAAAAGGTGAGTTTTAATGTACGTGTGATATTTTAGATTAAATAAAACAGAAATGGATTTTCAAATAGTTCAGACCCAAGATACGAAAACAAAATACGCAGGGCCAATGGCCAAAAGCAGGCCATATTTTAGAAATGGCAGGCAAAAACAAATTTGAACTGCCAAGTCAAAAAAAAATGGCAGGTGAAATACTATAGATATGATTTCATTTCATTTGCTTACCACAACTCATATATACTAGATCATTTATAGCTGACTAAAATATATGTCTATATTTGAAATGTAAATCCAAGTTTACTGTAGTAAAATAGACAAGTTTAAAAATAATAAAAATGCATATCATGAAAATATTGATTTTTACAATATGACTCATATGAGACATCGCCATTTTGGCAGTTCAATGAATAAAAATGGCAGGCTAAAATTTATATCACCTGCCAAAAAGTTTTAGACTGGCGCCGGGCCTCTACTTCGAGCCCTGAAATATGTAACATGTTCTCACGCGAAAATAGATAGACATTTTTACGTACAAAAACTGAAATTGATTCAAATTAAACTTATGGGAGAACCTCATCTATACAGCGTTTAGCGCCGTTTCGATATAAATAGATCCTTTTTCAGCCACCATTTTGGTTGTGCGTTGTGGATACGAATGCCGAAGGAGCGAGAAACGTCTATATAGGGATCTGAAGGTAAGGCTCTAAGCCTCTGGAACTCCCGGCGTTTTGTTGGGAGTTTTAAACAGTACAGGGTTATAGCGGCAATGTCTATATCCTTTTTCAGCCACCAATTTTGTTGTGCGTTGTGGGTGCGAGTGCTGAAGCCGAAGGAACGACGTGTCATTAGGCGCCATCTTGGTTGATTTTAAAGTTTTGTCCAGCCGTTTACCTCGTAATAGTTGAGTTACTTTAATATTTTTGGTTTGTTTTGAAAACATTTTACTGTATTATGGATAGTTTACGATTTCTGGCACAATACGACAAAGAATGAAGAACATAGATTTTTAGTTGCCGGAAAATCAACCAAGGTGGCGTCGATTGCAAACGAGCAATATAGGGGGTCTGAGGGTAAGGCTCTAAGGTTCTGGAACTCCGGGCATTTTGTTGGGAGTTTTAAACAGTGCAAGCTTATATATAGCGGCAATATTACTTCGTAAAATACTGGCCCCTAAGAAACTAATTTAATAATAACCGAAATAACTTGTATTAAAAGTTAACTCTAGGTATAATATTGACGCAAAGCCGGACAAAACTTTGAAAACATCTTTTAGGTGTTTCGGAAAGTGGGTTTTTAACGTAACCTTCAAAACGAATGGGCTGAAGCAGGACATGGTCATGGAGTTATTCATATTCATAACGTATATAAACACGCACATACAGCTTATGCTTTGTCATTCAATTCCACCTGCAGGTGCATATGAACACTTAAGACTTTACATTTGACATACACTAGATCTTGGAGTTTACATTTAATATTCTCTATTTTTGGTTTTTTTTAAATAAAAAAATTGAATATTGCACACACGGGGATATTACGAAGCAGGTGTGGGGCGGACAAAGAATTTTTTACCTAAATTAGAATTTAAACGTTATTAAAATTCTAATTTATGACAGACTCCTAATTTGCATGGGTGGAAGAATCATTAATGGTTTGGTTGGTGAAGGACAGGCCAGACAAACTCAATTTTGGGCGAGGGGTATTTCGTCGACATGACGTTTCCCCAGAAAATTTTGAGATCTAGAGCCTCTGGGAAAGATTAATTTTGTCTTACCCATCCCAATCAGCAACAAAAACTGTTTCACACCACGCAACGGGGAGTCATGCATGAATCTTCAATATATCACAGCTTAAAATTGCATTCCAGGCAGGGAAGAATATTAATAAGTTTCCCCAATCTATTTCGTACAGTACAGTACAGTACAGTACAGTACAGTACAGTACAGTACAGTACAGTACAGTACAGTACAGTACAGTACAGTACAGTACAGTACAGTACAGTACAGTACAGTACAGTACAGTACAGTACAGTACAGTACAGTACAGTACAGTACAGTATACAGTACAGTATACAGTACAGTATACAGTACAGTATACAGTACAGTACAGTATAGTATACAGTACAGTACAGTACATGAGTACAGTACAGTACATGAGTACAGTACAGTACAGTACAGTACTGAACAGAATTCAACAGCAACTATAGCGAGTCTTTCATCTTTTGGAAATTCTCAAGGCCGAGCGAAATCATGGCTATGTCAGTGGGCGTTAGCAATGGCTCGATCGCAATTGGCTGTTTGTTGTTGGTACTAACATTGATTTCCGCAATTTGTGGTGGTGTCGCGATGGGCACAATGAGCAGCCCAGCTGCTGTTAGTATCGGCTTATGGGGACTTTATGTAAGTATAACATTTCATAGTGTTTGCTTTATGTTTGCATTTTTAAGTAAGTCTCGCAGTAAAGCCTAGTTTCCATTTGGTCGTTAGTTGTCGCTGGCACGACAAGCGGTAATGTGAAATAGTCTAATTAATAATAGTCTTTTTGTGTGTTACATGCAAATCAGTCTTAATGATTGCAGAGTTTTATAAAGTTTTGTTGACACTCTATTACATCAGCCACTTGTCATGCCAGCGACAACTAACGACCAAATGGAAACTAGGCTTAACCCATAGACAATCCAAACGACAAGTCTTCTGGATTGTCTATGGGTAAACTAAATGACTATAAAACTTCGAAT